GCAACGACCACTTCAGAGAGCACACCAGACCAGCCCAGGCCAGCTCAGGCCAGCCCAGGCCAGGCCAGGCTACACCAGAGCCAAATAATTATCTTGGAGCATAATCTCGATCTGATGTTTTTGGCTAACCAGCAGCAGGCAACCAGCCCCGGCCGGATCTTGCCTTGGACATGCTGGCTTTTGTCTAAATGTCTCGAACTCGACACGAAAATCTCAGCCGCACATTCTGTATCTCACGCGTGTGTGTCTGAACGAGGGTGTGAGTAAATAGCAGCCGCATATTTGCTTTGCCTTTACTTGAAAGAACATGAAAATTATGCTGATTATGAGATTGGCCTTTGACGGGCCTCCAGTTGTGGCTGACACGCCCACGGGGCGTTCACGCAAAAATCGCATAATCAGCGCTGTGTGTCGCGTATGCGAAAGTGTCAAGGTCCAAGGAGCCCAATAAACCTAATGTGCCTAATAGATTAATTAAAACCCAAGCACACAACGCACAGAACGTCCACCCATAAATGGCTCACAAATGAATAATTCGAATGGCGAATTCACTCCCAGCTGAGCGACTAAGTGCCCATCAAGTCGACAAGCCTGCGAGCTGTGTCTGCGTGTGTGCACGCTGCACTCGAATGAAGACCACTTTTGAGGTGCTAAATTAGCGCACGCATTAAAAGCGCATTACTCATACGCGGCGTTGCTCTCTTGAATCCATAAGCAGCGCACACGCGCTGCCACTCAAACTGAAAGGCTTAATAGAGCCATCGATACACATACATTTCTATATATATAAAAACATATAAATATATGTGTGCAGTTTTTATAAGCATGTACATTTGGAGCCAAAATCATATACAAATGCCCATAAATCCAAAACGTAAACTACATAAATTAGAAATTTGTATTTATGCGAACGTTTTCGCATACGAAATGCGAATCACGTACGCGGCTTTATAACCGCAACTAGGCGAACCTTTTGCTGATTACGACGTGACCAGCAACCGAGCCATACAAATAAATATAAAAATATATAAACACACAGCCAAAACTGTTTTGTGTGTGTTTGTGTTTTGCTGTGAAATTATTTTAAATTATTTTTGATAATTGAATGAAACAGACGAGCATGAAAATGATTTACTGCCATATTTCATAGTTTGAAAACGGCAAAGGCATAACGGATTGTTAACACGCTCTTTAAATATTATCCGCGCATGCGTCAATGCCACAAAGCCAAAGGCTGTCATGGAGGGAACGGCGAATAGGAGCAAGCAGCAGTTGCTGTGACAATGGGCACGTGTCTTTATTTACACAAAGTAATGAAATTTGAACAGCAAACAGCATCCAAAACTGTACGCATTCTAGACATTATGTGTGTGAGTGTGGGTGTGTGTCTTTGCGTCTGTATGGGCCGGAAATTGCGCATAAATGCGACTAATTTCATTAAGCAACAATGCGGCCAATAAACATTTCCGAAGCATCAAAGTGCCATCCAAACTTTGGACAGCCACAATAACAACCAGATTTCAAATTTCAATGCATATTAATGAGTTCTCCGATAATTGTATTGAAAACTCGCATAAATTGTGGCCAATTTTGTCAGTGTTGGCTCAGAGAGATAGAGGCAGGCTAGCATCCTTAAGCAATATCTTTTCAAATATCCTTCAGCGTATAACTATCAACCTTGGCCGTATTTTTTCGGTTTTTTCTTTTTTTATACCTTAACTCGAAATCTATTTGGCGGGCTTTCATAAGTTTTTAGCTTCTCTTTGTATGAGGCAACATAAATTACTGCCGCCTCCAACAGTGGCATCCATTTATTTTGGCCATATTTTTTCTCCGCCAGCCTTGAGTGCTGCAAAATGCAAAATATCACGTCGAAACAAAGCAGCTGCAGCTAAGATAGCAATGCAAACCTTGTTGGTTAAAATATGCAGCTTAACTCACGCTTTACAGCAGCTGGGACTATAGCCAAGGGGACAAGGTCAGCCGGTAAAGGCCAGTAGCCACAGCAGGCTTAAAGCAATTGCCATTTAAGATTTCAAGCAATTAAATGGCCATTTAAAATGTACGCAACTCCTAAAATAGAAGTACGGGCAGTCACTAACGGTTCATTGCCAAAGTTTTCACTGTAAAATACATACAAAATACTTTTAATCCCAATTTACATAAATATTTATGCTGATGGTGCTGAAATCTGCCACAGTCCGACCCTCTCCCTCTCACTCTCTCTCTTCCTATCTCTCACACCATTGGCGCTAATGTGCCTTAATCTTTAATGAGCCAAGTTTTGCTTGTCAGACAATCTGCTAGTCAGGCAAGCAGGCAGTCAGCCAGTCAGGCAGTCAACTAGTCGCGGCTGGGCTTTGGTTTTAGATTTTGGTTTCCGGATTGGTTCCAGCTCTACTTTGGTTTTGCTTATGCAGTACGTGTTGCCATTTGGCGAGCCGATGTGCCGCTAGCGTTGACTGAAAGTTGGCATTGTAAACTACTTTCGAGGCACTTTACAGCGCTCCCATCAACGGCTTGTCGGCTGAAAGATACAGTTGCCAAGATCTAATTATAAAGATAAACCGTTATGCTCGCCCCCACATGTGGGCGTGTCTGTGTGATTGGCATTTAAATGTCAGAGCAATTGCCGTAAATGCATTGCCAACAGGAGCTGAGAAAGGCATTGAAAAATGTATACACTAAATAAAAACCAAACTGACTACCAATACAAAAACCTATTCAATCTTCGAAATGAGCCAAAACTGCTTAGAACGATTGAGGTGGAGCTGCCAATAGACATTTAGGCAGAGAGAAATTGTTGTATATATATATGGATATATGTGGGGATGCAGTGTTTCTTCTAATCAACTCATAGGCATATAAAGTAAAAGTATCAATACGAAATCACTTTTAATATTGACAGTAACTTTAAAATGAAAGTAAGATTTCATACAATCCTGATGAACTCTTTTTAATGTGTATTCATATTTGACTATATTTATACATATGCATTTATAGTTGTTGCTGATATGGTTAAACTTATGTCTTAGTCGTGCAACGGTCTCTGGCTGTTATTTGCAATCTCTTTCGTCTTCATTTTCATTAGAGAAGCGCTCGCTGCACTTTGCTGACAGCAAAATCCACACGAAGGCAGGACTTCAGCTCTTTTTCATTTGCCTTTGGCCCCCAAGTGGTGTGCTCGCTACTTATTTTAATTGCTCAACATTTTTCACAACTCTTGTTTCGTCTGTGTGGGTGTGCGTGCGTGTGTATACGAAGCAAGCTTTTAGGGGTATTCGCATTGTTCGCAACTCTCAACTCGCAGCTTAATCGACTGATTTAGAAGTTTATTGCATTTCCCATGCTCAGCCCGGCAAGGGAAATGGCGCCGGACACGAAGGTATTTAAACGTTGTGCGAACTGTGAACTGCGAATTGTGAGCTGGGAACTGGGATCTGCAGCCGGGGTCTTCTGTCGGCCACTTTATTGTCTCGCATCCTGGCCAATATAAATGGGCTTCCGTGCATAAAGCGTATAATGTTGGCTGGCAAAATGGGCGCCTGGACATAAAAGCGCCAGTTAAAAATGTGCTTCAATTTATTGGCCTGCATTTAAATCGCCAGCAATTGCACCCACTTCGAGTTACTTCAACCATGTTTGTCGAGTTGAAAGCTCAATTTTGTCATAAATATTTACTCATTTTCACAACACAATATTTTGGTGCGTGCGTTTGTGTGTTTCTGTCCGCGAGCGTATTTATTTGTCCTTGACCGTTGCGTAAATAATTATGCGGACAAGCTATTGTCCTTTATCCCTCGTCTTGTGTCCTTTATCATTGTCAACGCCCCTGCAGCAGCGATGCGTACAATTAAGTCAAGCCGCCCGAAATCCTTCGATTTATGCCGCAAACATCGCACATTAATGGCTGCTTATAGAAGCGACGGCACATAATGCCACAAATAATCCATAAATATATATTGACTGCAGTGGCACATGACAAATTTACATAAATTTTTTGCGCATCCTAATGGCTATTATGATAATAATTTAATACGCGACGCGTACACATTTTAATTAATTTTAATTCAATTTTCAAAGGCTGCCAACATTTATTATTTATCAGTTGCTATTAACAGCAATTTTTAATTGTTTTCGTATGACTCATTAAAATGTTGCCTGTGTTGTTTTGTTCTGTAATGAAACAAATACAATGCAGCTCAACACTTGTCTATGAGTCATGACAGCCATTAGCCAATAAATTAAAGAAAAATGCACAAAAAACTGAAGAGCTGCACTTAAAACTGTGACACACGGGGCGTATGATTGACTTTAAACTCTGCATCGCACGTCTGTCTGAAAATAAGAATTAGAGAGCGAACTGATTCGCAGTCTAATAATTTAGAATCTACTAGTTAAGTTAAGAAGTTAATTCCATATTTAATAAATATCTATTTTATGAATAAACTGCTTAACTTAAATATATAAATATAATTCTACGCCTGTCTTTCGGGTAAATAGCCAAATGTGGCCTTAACTTGGACTAGACGTTAGTAAAACATACCTATGATGCCAACGCATTTTGGCCACATCAATTGGCTAGGTAAGAAGTGTTGCTTTAACCACTGATACTATTGACATTGAGCCAGTTGGAAAGCCAATAAAATTCTCATTCATATTTTAAGTATTCGTGTTGAACATAAGAGAAACTAATTTATATTGCAATATTCAAATGACGCAAATCGCAAGGCAAGCTGACGTCATTGCCGCAATGAAAAATTGCCACATTGTTTCGTCAATGAGTTCTTACGCTCCTTTGCGTGAGTCAAGCCGGCTGAGCAAGCCACGTCTAACAGGTGGAATTGTTTTATGCTAAAGTATTAGAATTGAAGATATAAAGTATTTTTATTTCCACAAAAATAAGAGATTTTGTCAATTGAGAAAAATGTATCAAGAACCAAGAAAGAGTCAAATATCAGAAAGTCAAATATTAAATTTTATTTAAATAGTTATGGCAGTTTTAAAACTTAAATTAATTTTGATTAGCTAAGAGTCATGCCAGATAGATATTTAAGTACATAAATTTGTAAAGAAAATAATGAATCTAAATGTAGTAAAAGCGGGGATTGTTCCGTGACGCATCCTGTTGATAAGGTTGTTTGTAAGTTAAAATTTGAATTTAAATCATGATGTCAGTTTACCCCCAGTCCGTGCATTACGATCATGATGACAACACCAGTCAGGCTACAAATCCAATTACCTATTTCAACCCTCTTCTTATCTTCTAGAGTTCTTACATACTTGTAAATTAGAAAGCCGAAACATAGCAAGCACACGTTGAACAGAAATATAACTGTTGCACCTCTGATAAAGGAACGCGCGGCGACGACTGGAACTTGATCTCCTAGAAGGAAATTCCCTCAACCTGGGCATGGCAATGAATTCGTATAGAAAAACTTACTTTTGACTGAGGGATCCAATTTCGCATAGCTGATGTCTCCTTGTTCACACGTATTTAATGAAGGCTGCTTTAAAACGTTCATTTTTTCGCTTAACAATCATTTACTTCTCAACCTCTCAACTTTTACTTAAATTTAATATTAGAACTCTATACTTTTTGAATGAGAACTCAAGGCACGCAATAATTCGATTAGTCTGTGCTCAGCCCAAGCACCTGAATGCCAAATCATTTACACCTGATTTAGCAAACAGCGCAAGATCCAATATCAGACCCTCTCCGTCCCCTCAGGAGCAGCACAAAAACAAAATGTCGAGCAAAATGATTGCGACACGCAACCGACCCAAGTGCCAAACACAAAGCACGCACATTTTGATTATGCTAATGATGGTTATTGTTGTTCCTGTTGATGTTGTTAATGTTGTTGTTGCTCCCTTTTTATTGTTGCTGGTCAGTTCATAAATATTTTGACAGCGCGTAGAGCAAGTAGAAGCGGACGTGGATGCGGATGCAAATGTCTGCCATGCCCTTCACCTGCCACAGTCTCTACAAGTGGTCCCTCTTAATTTCTTACTTTGACAAGTGCTGTTTTGCGACGGGCAAAATAAATGTCCAAATGACTATTAAAAGCAGTTGAAATAAAATAAAACAGCAAATTTGATTAGCAATCTTAATATATATATATATATATTTGTCATATGTATTTATATATAAATATTTATGCGACAGCAGAGAAATTGCTTTACTGTTGCTTTATTGGATTCAATGAAATACCCCAAAAATGTCAAGCTTAGCATAAAAGTGTCACTAAATTATTTTGCTATGCAAGCAAAGTCTCGTTTATGTCGAGATTTGCAATTTTCTCTTAATTTAAATGGAAAAAAAACTTTTATATACGCTGCTAGTTTGTGTTTGTCAACTGCAAGATTTTCATTTCGTCCCGGCAAGTGGCAACACTGTTATATTGACTTACATTTGAAAATGAAAAATAAATTATTATTTTAAAGACAGCTCTTGCGATGCAGTACTTCCTTGACCTAATTAAATCTTAAAGTGCAATATTTTTAAGGAGCAAAAGTCAAACTTCATGTTCTTATCATTTTTATTAAATCATACGAAAATGGCGAAGCCGAAATGCATTTGAAAACTTTATGCGCAGTTCATGATAATCTTGATTATTTGCTGCTGCAGCACTGCTCCTTGGGTCCAGACTTGTACACGCAGCTGCAGTCCTTATGGCAGGCACACTTGCTGCCACACTGTTGTGCCGAGCACTGGCATGCTGTATGAATTAAGTTAGTTAGTTTCCAGTTTGTTATCGGTTTAGCATATAGTATGATACTTACTAGACACACAATTCTTGCAGCCCATTCTGTTGGTTTTATAAATTTGATTTGATTTGCTTTGGTTATGAAAATCGTTTAGTTAGTGCAAAGCTTTTCACTCGTAGTTAACTATTGTTGGCTTCACTAAATACCCATAATATATATATTGTAATTCTAAGCTCAACGACGGGTGCAAAATCGAACAGCAAGCTGAGAGAGCGGAAAGGGCCAGTGTTATCAGCAATTCGTGCGCAAAATGCGTAATGTTTCGCGCCTATCAGTTGTTAGCATTACACAAACAAATTGTGCGCCAAACGATTGCCTCGACCAACGCTTTGGGCCGTGCTGCACACGGCGCTTTTATCAGTTTATCAGTGTGCACTGCATAGACACACACAGAACAACGGCCGAGTGTGCCAAATACGAAGGCAGGGATAAGCCCTGATTAAATATTTATGTGCGCATGTACATAGTCCGTAAACTTTATCCTGCAGGCCCGGTTTGCACCAGTCGAGTAAGATATCTAGCAAGTCCGCTGCAATTCGCCAAACAAATAAAACTTCAATCAATTTAATGGTATCCTTTCGATTTCCTTGCACTTTTTCAAACTGCCGAAAAGACGGAATGGTTATCCAAATCGATTTAAAAATGGAAAATGCTTAAGTGATTCACACATTCAATTCCGACATAACTTATTTAATGATTTAAACATTGCATTAAAGTGTAGCATACTTTGCGGGTTGCGTTTAATAAGTCCACCAAGTGTAAGCAGCTGCGTAAAAATGTTGCATACTTTGCGGCTTGAAAGAAAATATATAGAAATTAATCGCCTGGTTTGAGTAAATATACTTTGTTTATTCGCGATGCACTCGCTGCGAGTGCACAAACAGGTCTAAAAATAGTCAATCGGCCAGAATGAGCAACGTCCAATTGCTGGCATCACATAACAAAGAAGAAATTCTAGGGCATACAATATGGTACTGTGAATGAATACGAGTATAAACTAAGCTAAAGTGTGTCTCTGCCAGCGGCTGCAGCTGGGCTAAGAGTTGAACACATCGATTGTGTTGGGCGGGCTGGGTGCGCTATTCCTTTAGGTCTGCCGCCGTGTTAATGAATCCAGTTGTCTGTGTCAGCTGCAGTTGTTTCTCTTCGGCTTCTGCTGCCTTTTGCTCCGGCGTCTTGGCCCACTCCTGCAGCTCGCCGGACGCATAAAACCAGTAGATGACGCAGCCAACAAGATAAATGCCAGCTGAGATAAAGAACACCAGTCGCCATTCATAACGGTCTCCGCTATCGCCCACAATGTAGCCGGTCAGCAACGGACTGACGATGCCGGGAATGGTGGCGAACGTGTTGCCAATGCCCATGAGCACACTGGCGTGCTGCGGAGCAATATCCAAGTGATTGACACTGCAAGTGTTGCAAGAATTAAGTCGCTGCACAGCTGAAGGCTACACTGACGTGGCAACTTACGCGAATCCGGACCAGGCAAAGGCGCCCAAGCCGACAGCAATTGTAATGAACACCACTGACCAAGTGGGATCCATAATGTAAGCCGTAAGCATCATAAAGACCGTCTGGGCCAGGAAAGCACCGCAGTTGAAGTTACGACGCACTTGCGTTGTTGTCCAGATGCCCTTCACCTGCAGCCAATCGGCCAGATAACCAGAGACGGCCAGCAATATGCCCATGGCCAGGTAGGGCACAGCCGAAATGAAACCCGTTTTTCCCAGATCAAAGTTAAGCGTATCTGCAGAGAAATGCTCGTTAAATTCTATAAATTCTATACCATCTTTTATCAAACAGCTTACCCTTAAGGAAACTAGGCAGCTGGGTGAGCAGCGTGTAGAAGCCCCAGTTCTCGGAGAAATGTGAGGCGATGATTGCATAGAAAGCCATCGATGTGAAGAACGCTTTCCATGGGTGCTTGATCTTCTTAGAGCCCGAATATCCAATAGTTTTCTGTATGTACTCGCACTCCTCCTTCGAGCAGAAGCGATCCATTTCAGGTCCCGCACGCACAATCAACAGCCACAGAATCAACCAGATCACACCAATAGTGCCGAATACATAGAAAACGCTCGCCCAACCGTAACGGGCTGCCAGCATACCAGAAGATGGCATCGCAATTACCGTTCCAGCATAATTGCCCGCAAATGCAATTGATGCCATGCGAGAGCGTTCCAACGGCGGCGACCACCTGGCCCACACGGCGTGTATGCCCGGAAATGTAACGCCCTCGAACACGCCCTCAATAATGCGCACAGCGAGGAACATTTCGAGGCTGTGTTGAGCCGCCAGTGGTGTGAGCAGAGTGAGGATGGCAGTTGTGCCAATGCCCAAGCCGAAAACCTTTAATATGAAACACAAAACGACAAATGGTTAGTAGAGGCTCCAGAGAACGCAACTTACAAGTGTTTTAAATTTATGTATCAAATACGTAAGCTACTTACTTAATGAAAATATATAAATAAGTTAATTTTTCCATCGTTTCAATACTTATACTCACAAGATTGCCGCCCACTTTGGTGCCAATGTAGCCACCGAGGAACTGTGTCAAGATATAGCCATAGAAGAAGGAGCTCAAGATCAAGCCCCTCTGCTTGGAGTCCCAGGGAAAGTCCTGTTCATAGGATACATTGCCATCGGCATCAGTGACAGTGCGATTCTCAGTCATGGCCACAATAGCCACCGACAAATTCACGCGAAGCGAGTAGACATTGAAGAAGCCAAAGAAGGCCATCAGGACCACAATGTAGCGCTGCTTACGCCAGAATCTCCAGGTGAGTGGCTCGCTCTCCACCAGATCAGCGCTGCAAACATGGATAGAACAGAAGAGTTGCTTAGTTCGATTGGCATGCAAATGGTTGGGTCTGCTGCCCCACCAAGCCACAGTCACTTTCGCTGGCTATCAATAATATGCTGTTGTTGCTGTTGTTTTTTCTGCTTTTCGTACACAACATTTCTCAACGTCTGCAGTTGCCAATGGGCTGGAACCAGTTTCTGAGCTATGCGCGGCATTAACAACTGGTTTGGATTGGGTCATTTGACAGTGTTTCAGCATTTTGTGCACATGGGTACACATGGTATTTACATATCCTACTTGGCGGTGCTTTGTTTTGCTTTCGAACAGCAAGAACACTTGCTTGATGCGGAAGCAATTCGGGTGTGGGCCTGTTATTTTATCTAGTTATGCCAGGCTTTTGTCCAGAGTTGAGGTAGTCGTATTCAAATTTATATTTCATTTGATACTTACTTGTTGTGATGCGGCTGATGGCCATTGTGCTTGTCGGCTTTTATTGACTCCAGGTCGGTCATTTTGCGTGCTTGTGTGAATGGGGCGTATGATCAATCTATTCAGGCATTAAGGGCCTGCAAATAAATTGGATAAACACAAAAAAGCAATTCAAATACAAATATCAAAAACGCCAGCCACTGTACGTTGTGCGTGCTGCCGTTTCATTAAAATTAAATTAAATTCAAGACCTCCCCTCAACCCAACTCTAGAGCAAGTTCAATAGAAAAATTGCACACAATACGAAGCGTGTCATAATTTTTTGCAATTTGTTTTTGTTGTTTCTTTTTTTTCTTTGTTCGCGCCCTGCTATTATTAAACAAATCTACAGCAATTTATTGTCTCCGGGCAGCATTGCGTGCCGGCCGCAATTGGCTTTGACATAGAACTCTAGCCGAGCCACGGGGCAAAGCACTGATTCGCCAGGCATCTTAATCCGGATACACAATATGCACCGAATTTACGAAAAAAGTGAGTTTTTTTAAGCAATTGTCTCGCCTTATCGACAATGATTCTTGGCAGGTTAGATGACGACGCCTCTTAACTCAATTATCCATTTAACTTATTAAGCAAATAGTTTTGCAAATTATGGCATTTGTAGCACGCGAAATAGAACACTCGCACATACACACACCCAGACAGACAGACATATAAGACAAAAGTAATCACAGCAAATACGTAATAGTGGCATAAGTGAGCCAAGTGCTTGGGCTAAGCTCAGCAACCGGTTTTCGGGGCACTTTCACTGATTTATTTATTGCTCAGCTGCTCGCAGCAAGTAGTCTCCAGATGCGTGCTTTCATACTGTTTACTGATTTGCACGTGTACACAACAGAGCAAACGTCTAATTTTAGATGATAGATAATAACGATATGATAAGATATGATGCTGTCAGCATATTTCAGTCTCTAAATTAGCATTCAGCCAATAAAGAACACACGCACACACACACTGCCAAGAGTACATTTAGCGTCGTTTAGTAAATATTATTTAACTACTATTTTCCTCTCATTCAAACTAGTTTCACGCTACGTATATAGCCAAGATCCTGTTGAGTCTACAAATGAAACTCTCAAGCTGATTCACAGACTTGCAATATCAATATATATATACATATATATACGTAAATTTATATAAATATATATATATATATATATATATATAAGAAATTCCTGTTTGATATAAATAGATTCACTTTCTATCAGGGTCGCAAACTCAAAGACGAGTGTCTAGAGTTATTTTGATGTGCAGCTGGAATTGGAATTTACATATGAAGTTTAAATTAATATCAAAGGTAATGTTAACAGGTAACCCTTCGAAAGTTTTGATTGCCAAATAGTTAATTTTAATTTCAGTGAAAAAATGAATTTCCGGGCTCCAACCGGTTGTATTTAATGCCAGCATGTAGCCTGGCTTTCTATCAACCCATTCAATATGCAATCCAATTTATCTTTAAAGTTTTTTCGCTTAACTTATACATATATCAAACATGTTCATAAATTTAAAACTTTTTGTTAGTCAAAATAACTAAAAAAATAGCTAATTGAAATTGAAAACATTTTGCAGTCTTTTCAAAATTTATCTATACAGCATTAATAATTGGAATCGACGTGGAGAGCAATATAAGATTTATAACTAAGACGTATTGTTTATAATCTCAGTAAATATCAACAATAAATTATGGCCTGTTACGATTAAGCGACTATTAGCGCGTGCTAATCTAAATTTGTGAACAATTCAATTAAAGTTGCCTCTGATTAGCGTTAGCATAAAACCAAACAACAACTAACTAAGGAGATAGTAAATATTAGCATATCAATCGCTATTATCAGCTAATTTGCATTAGATAAAGCTTGAGTCGAAAGATAAGGAATATATTGTCTTTAGTCACTGATTAACTTATAAGTAAGAGCTTTTTCTTTAAGCGAGTCTAGCCTTAATGAATTGGAGTGCATAGGAAGAAACTTATTGGTTTTCCATTTGAAAGAAACACATGCGCTTGCACCAATGCATGTTGCATTGCTAATGAAATAGAAATATATATGGCTTGAAACAGCTGTCGGTATATGCGCTTAGCTACAACACTTCATTTAAGCTAAATTCTTTAATCAAGTACAAGAAAGAGACAGTTGTGCAAACAGCAAGGCCGCACCAACTACAACAGCTTAGCAAAGTCGCACAACTTGTAGATTGCAAATAGTTAAATTAAATACACTCCAATACACTCCCACACTCATGCATATGCACTTTAGAAGTTGCCACAAAACTTGAACGCACCAGAAAACTTTGTCAAGGGTCTTCAAACTCTTCGAGCTGCTCAGCTGGTCCGCTAGTCCGCTAGTCCGCTCGGGGTATGACGTCTGTGTGGGTTGGTTGCGTGGCCAGGTGTGTAGCCGCCGGTTGTTCGCAGCGCACTAACACTGCAGCCAGTTGCCGGCATCCAGCTAAACACGACCGCAGACCGCTCGGCCGGCTTAGCTGCGCTCCGGAGACGCGTCGCGTCGCGGCGCTGGGCTCTGCCCCAGCTGATCGCGCGTTGCGTTCAGTTAACTTCAATTAAGGCAAACAAGCCGAACCGAGCCGCGCAGAGCGCGACTGGATTTGGAAACCTTGACTGTGGAGACTAATCGCATTGTGCGAGCAATTTACTCTTTGCCTGGGTAATCGCAATGGTAATCGACATAAAGCTTATGGTTTGATTGGGCGCTATAAAGATAAGGAAAACAAAATGAAAAGGAAACCAAGAATCCAGCGGAATTCTCAAATTGAATTTGCCAAGATACAACTTTCTTTATTTGCTTAAATGAACTCTTAAAAGCGGCAGTGCGCATATCGTTCATAAATCTCTATACATACACAGAAGAATTTTATCAAATTTATGATGAGATAATGCGATACAATAATAGCCATAATTCAGCAGCTGAGCAGCAGGCGTCTACTAAACAAGTGAACTACTAAGTACATAAATACAACATCGGCTAGTTGAAAGCGCATACAGATTTAAAACAAGCCACATTACATAATAGAAACTGTCGCAAAATATAGAATACATAAAAGAATAATAATATTTTGCTTAATTTATTGATATATAAATTATGATTTATGGCACAACAACCACCGATTTATTGCAACGCCTCGTAAAGAGTTTTAGTATAGTTTGACTATAATGGTACTATGTAAGATATGTCGAGCTTGTTTGTTAAAATAATCATTTTATTTATAAATCGTTGCTGAAATTGGTTAACACGTTACATCATTTGATGGGTTTTATAAATAAGCCTGGCCGGGTCCAGCCACAATGACATTCGATCATTTCGCACACGCCAAAATCGAATGTCAGGCAGATCTAAAGTAAACGGTGCGTGATAGACGCATTTTAAAAACAAAAACATTTGGCGGGTACCACGATCAAGCCACGACAACCAGCACAACACAAATAACAGTTAATTTGCATTGGTAAGTGAGAATTGGACAGTGTTGAGCTAAATTGACAATATAAATAAACAGCCCGAAAGCTAGCCAGTTTTAGCCAGATCGAATTGTGTGACATCTTTCAGATTTATTATGACCACATGCATTAATTGTTGAAACAGAAATGTTAATTATCACCTAATAGGGAACACGCTGCTGTTAATTTAAAGTGTCAACAGCGCTGCTGTTAAGCTAACAGCGTCAAGCAGTGCATGTTAACAGCGCAAACATTGTAATAAGCATACGCCGAGTTATGCATATATTTTAATAGTTGTAAATTCAAGCTGACAATCGCGATCAGTCGTTCGACCTGTAAAGACGTGAATTCGAACAGCCTTCGCTTAAGCTCTACTGCTGCAGAGTTCTAAAAATAGAACTTTGCGGTGCATTCTTCAACGCAACAGCAACAAAAACCGCACACGCAGCGTTTTCTTATCGCTTGCTTCCGCGTAACTCAATTGCTTTAATTGCAATTTACGAAATTTCGTCGCTTGGCGCGAGTGCGCCTGCACTCAAAAGCACAATCCGCGATGACATCTAATGTCAATGACCGCGCTACAGCTGTAAAGGTAAATGCAGAAATGCAAGCCCAGCTTAACGTTGTGATGGCAAATAGGCAAGCCTCCATCATGCCAATAAACTCAAAAATAGATATCGCCTCCGTGCAAGGCATCACTAACAACAAAAACACGAAACGTAAACAGCCAAATTCACCAAAAACCATCAAGAAAAGGCTCATCTTCGACGAACCAAGCACCAGCAATGCAGCATTAATATCAGAAAATCGATTTTCACTGCTCGTAGAAGAAGATGAAGACTACAGCGAATCACCTGTAGCTCCAGAAGCCCCAGTATTGACCGACCAGCAAACTACACCGAAACCTCGTCCGCCCCCCATATGGTGTCCAAACATCAAGTCTGTGGCCCTACTTCAACAGATAATAGATAAAGTAATTGATGCTAAATCATACGTAATTAAGCCAAAGAAGAATAACATAGGTGTATTAACCCAATGCAGTGAGGACTATCGCAGAGTTATAGACCACTTTACTAAGCTGGAATTGGAGTTCCACTGCTACCAGCTTAAGGAGGACAAACCATATAGAGTCGTGTTCAAAGGGCTTCACTCCAGCACTGATACAACACTAATTAAAAAGGAATTGGAAACCAAAGGCCACACAATTACAAATGTGCACAACCCACTGAGCCGTATGGACAAAACACCGCTAAATATATTTTTTGTTGACGTGGCTCAGGCCCCCAACAACAAAGAAATTTTGGACATTCGAGTTGTCTGCAGGCAACGCTGCACAGTGGAACTGCCAAGAAGATACAACGACCTGACACAATGCCATCGCTGTCAAGAATTTGGACACACACAACGCTACTGCCACAAAGCTCCCAGGTGTGTGCGTTGCGCCGGGAAACACGCATCCAAAGACTGCACCCGCGAAAAGGACCAGGCACCAACTTGTGTGCACTGTGAGTTACAGCACCCAGCCAACTATAAGGGCTGCCAAGTATACAAGCGGTTGCGCAAATTGCAATCCCCAGCACAAAAAAGGAGTCCCACACAAACACCGTCTACGGGTCCGAGTACTGCTTCCGAAATTACAAGGCCCCGGAGCATTACCCAAGCCACGAGCTTTGCAACGCCTATTAGTGGTGTTTCTTACGCACAGGCCGCTAGAGGTGGACCGTCAAATAAGAATACCACAAGTGACACTTTGTTCACTGAAATGCTTCAGCAACAACAACGTCAGTTTGACGCAATTAATGCCGAGCTCAAAGCGATGCGAGAAGTACAATCCCAACAAGCAACCATGCTAAACAGTTTAATGGCCATCATAACCAAGCTTGCCTACAAATAATGGCTTTACGTGTGGGTATCTGGAACGCCAATGGCCTGAGAAACAAGACTCAGGAACTGGCTGCGTTTCTCTCACAAGAAAACATAGATATAATGTTAATAACAGAAACTCATGAGTGCCCCACTACACAAATTTTCGGATACGAACACTATCAGGCTCATGGTGAAGGAGCAAACTGCTTTGGTGGATCCTCAATCCTCATACGAGCAACAATACCGCATACACCTTTACTGTCAATTTGCAACGCAACAATGCAGGTCTCAGCCATCACCCTGCCTACGTCTATTGGAGCGATCGAAGTTGCGTCAATTTATCTTCCGCCAAACACTGGTCTGTGTGATCATCACATGGAACAGGTTCTAGGCCAAAGTTTGAATAAGACCCTCATCGGCGGCGATTGGAATGGATGGCACCCATTTTGGGGAAGCAATAGTGCGAATCGTCGCGGAGAAGTCATATTTGAGGCGATTCAAAACTTACAATTCAGCATATTGGCGACTGGAGCCCCCACCCGTTACCCAATTAATGGACACAGGCCCTCGGCAATCGACTTCGCTGTCTACAAAGGCATCTGTGACCGGCAATTGACCATTGAAGAATCCTTGGACCTATCCTCTGACCACCTGCCACTAATAGTCACAATCCACGCGCAGCCACAGCCCTTGCCCATTAGGAAACAACTACTGCCAGCAGGATCAGATTTAGGAGTCTTTAGGCGCGAGCTCCATTACTCTTTGCACATAGAAATGGAACTTAACACTCCTGAAGACGTGGACTACGCAGCAAACAAACTGCAGGAAGAAATAGTCAAAGCTGCGCACCAAGCCGCCCCACCATCTTGCCAAACAAGACAACAGTCTCCGTACAACATCCCCCTCACCTTGGAGGCCCAACACCTACTAATACACAAAAGATGGGCCAGGAGACGCTGGTTAAGATTACGCACGCCTGATGCCAAATCCACGTACAACGAAGCCACGAGGCATCTTAAAGCTGCTCTCGCCCTGCTTCAAAAGAGGTGTATCAGCGATGCGCTGGTACGAGCTGAATCGCCCACTGACGCAGAGTTTCAATTATGGAAATTTACAAGAAAGCTCAAACGGCAGCCAATACGTCGACATCCCATTCGGAGCATTTCTGGTTCCTGGCACATTGGTGACGAAGCTCAAGCTGAGGCTTTTGCAAACCACCTTCAAGACCAATTCACGCCGGTGATTACCGCAGAGGCCTCAGAAATCGAAGCAACAGAAGACATCGTTCTCTCGCCCCTCCCAGCTGAAGACCAGATAACTGGATGTACAAAAGAAGAGGTTCTTGAACACATCAGAAGAGTGAAGGCAAAAAAATCCCCTGGATATGATCTAATAAACGGCAGAGTCCTTAGAGCACTGCCTGACTCCACCATAGACTACATAACTATGGTGTACAACGCCATGCTCCGCATCCGGCACTTTCCAGCCTGCTGGAAGCGCGCCGTGATTGTGATGATTCCTAAGCCTGGCAAACCCGTGGGAGAAATTGAGTCGTACAGACCAATTAGCCTGTTGCCAGTACTCTCCAAAATATTCGAAAGAATATTTCTGGAACGAGTACTGACACATCTGGGACGCCAGGAGGCCATTCCAAACCATCAGTTTGGCTTCAGGAGACAGCATGGAACACCGGAACAGGTTCACAGAGTTGTGCACCATATCCTTGGAGCCTTTGAAGAAAAGATGTACTGCTCTGCCGTCTTTTTAGACATCAAACAGGCGTTTGATCGAGTTTGGCACCTGGGACTGCTGCAGAAAGTGAGGACCACCCTTCCAGCCCCATTTTTCGCGTTGCTATCCTCATACCTTATTGGAAGAACCTTCCAAGTGTCAAGGGGGCAAGCAGTATCCTTGACTAGACCAATTATGGCTGGAGTACCACAGGGTAGTGTTCTAGGCCCAACACTTTATACTTTATTCACAGGAGATATGCCAACTCCCGAGCCAAATATAGGAAGTACAGATGCAGTACTCATAGCGACCTATGCAGATGACACCGCCATCTTATCACGTCACGTATCTGCGCAAGAAGCTTCAGACTCACTACAAAAATATCTGGACTCTTTCG